GTCGTTGGGAAAAGTGTAAAGGAGGATTAGATAAGATGAAAGGCCCGTGCATAAGTTAGTCAAATATAAAATAACAATAGAGTTTGATTTATGCAGTTTGGATGGAACTACCCATTGTTGATACAAGACACTGTTACATTAGTTCATGATAGTTGTCAAAACTACTGCATAAAATGTTTCCTTTTCGTCAGCTTTCTTGGCCATCTTAAATGAATAGTCTTGAGCAGAGTCTTAGGAGACTGGTGAGCCTGAGATGTAGAAGATAGAGGTTAAGAGGAGATTCTTATCTTCAAGAGTTGCTGAGAGTCTGGGATCTCATGCTGTGCATATCTCCACTCTTCTGCTATTTTTAGTTGAGACCCAGTTAGTCATCACTGGCCTGCAAGGGAAGGAGGAGTCCCTAAGGCAAACAGCTTGCAGAGTGAGGCATCGCGGGGCTGGTGAGGAGGTGGTGAGGAAGGCACCCTGCTTCCCTTGGTGGTGGTGATGGGGAATGCATGGCTGATTGTATGTGTGGAGGGATTATATTATCTAAATACAAGTTTTAAATTTTTTCTCTAGCTTTTCTTTTACCCACTTTGTCTTTCTTCTGAAGTTTAAAGAATTAGGACAGTCTATGCTCATTGTCTCATGGTCTCCACAGACTGAATGAAACCGGGTCCCTTGGTGTGAACTGCAGGGGAAACTGGCATTTTCACACTGATGCCTGACCATTGAAAGCCACTCAAAAAAACGTGGTGGTTTTCCCAGTGCCAAAATTTGTGGGTAGCCTTTCCCTCTAGCGCTAGCCAGGGTAAATGGTCCAATCAAGTAGGCATCAACTAGGATGCTGGCCCCTGAAGGAACTATAAAGCAGGGCAGGAACCATGTTGAGTCTTTCAGACTCCTCCAACTTGGTACATGGCCTCTGAAGAAGGAGCATCCAGCGGTCGACCTTCAAAGAAAAAAGCCAAAAACCTTCTCAGCAAGTGACGGGGTGGCGTTACCCCGTCTGCTGCTCCCACCAACCGGAAGGAGCTGCAAGGGCTTGAGCCTGGTTCTCAAAGAGCTGCTGTGGTCGGTGGGGGCCACAGACTCACCAAGAGCTGTATCTGATCATCCAGCACCACCTTTCAGTGCTGCTTCCTCCATTGCTGTCTGGTCCAGAGTGGGTACTTTCGTTTTCCCTCTATAGTATCCTTCAGTTACAGGCCCATTATATTTTAAGTGTAACTTAGCTTTTAACTTTAAGGCAAATCTGAATTTCTATTATTCTCTCTGCTATTCATCCACTCTTCCTGAGCATGCTAATGGGCAATGAAATGCCTAAAGAGAGAAATAGAAGAAAAGGGTCCCCAAAATAAATGAGCAACTAGGTCTGGAATAATTGAGAATTGGCTCCCATATTATACATTATTTTCTAAGGTAGTAAATGGATTTTAGAAATACTTAACACCTGGAGAGGCACTATAAATACAAATGTATAATTGAAATCTGAATTTGAGAGCTTTTTTCCTATAAAGAAGGAAACTCCTTTTCCACAAGAAGAAATGTTGAGTTAAATCAGGGGTAAAGGTTCTGGACAAATGGGATAAAATAAGTCAGAAGTCATGATCTCTTGCAGGTGGGAAGCAAATAGTTACTTCAACAGTAATCAGACCTCCTGTCTGATTGAGACAGGCATCAACCAGACAAAAGCAATTCCTTTCTAGCCAAACAGAACTGTACTTGTATGAATGACATAGAAGACAGATGGCAGGAGACCTTTCCAAGTTGTGATCTTGTGAAGACTAGGACTCTTCTTTCTATCTGTCTGCCCTCTGAGACAACTCAGCAGTACTTGAAAACACCATGATGGATGGTGCTGACACTAGGAGTCTATGAAAAATGATTTCCCTCTGGTCAAACATCCAAGTGGAATTCATTTTCAGAATTCAGAATCCAGATACTATGAATTTCATATCTAGATGTGCTCAGCCAACTGCAAAGGCTCACAACATAGAGTTGAACACTTTTATGAACCCCACCATTGCTGGTGGTGCCTGGGTTCCTAGAAAGTGTGAATTCAGGGCTAGGGCTAAAGATAAGCTCACCTCCTTTCCTCTCCTCAGCCTCTCCACCCCACGCCCAGGGATGCTGTGATGAGGGTGATTAGGACCTCTCTTATGGACTGAATTGTCCTTCTGAAATTCATATGTTGAAGTTCTAACTCTAGTAACTCAAAATGTGATTATATTTGGAGGTAGGGATTTTAAGGAGGCAGTGCAAATGAAATCATTAGGGTGGACTCTAATCCAGTGACTGATATCCTTAGAAGCAGAGGCTATCTGGACACAGATACTCAAAGGGAGAAGATGATGAGCAGACACTGGAATAATGTGGCCATTTACAAGCTAGAGATCTTGGGCTTCTAGGTTTTAGAACTGTGAGGGGATGTGTGTGTGTGTGTGTGTGTGTGTTAAAAGATTTTTTATTTATGCATACAAGGACTGGGGTACAGGCCATAGGTGTGGGGAGTGAAAGGGTTTACCAGGGACAGAGTGGGGAACAGAACAGGCAGATCTACTGAGATACACTGCTGAGGGGAGCAGCGGGTGGCTCAGGAAATGTCTGCCACGCCATGTGGGGCAGCTCCCTGACTGGGAATTGAACTCATGCTGCAGTGGCTGTGGATGGCTTTGTGCTGTGCTCTAACCCATTGCACCATCAGAGAGGCCCCAAATGTTGTGTTCTTTAAGTCATCCAGTCTGTGGTTCTTTTGGCGGTGGTAGAGACTAACGAGCTCCATTTGTATAAGCTGTTAAACATCATTAGAGAGCTGATGCTTACACTCATGAAGGCTCAGCCCAGCACTGAGACCAGGTGCTCCTCCGCCATTTGGAGGGTAATCAGCCTTAAGGGGAAGGGTTTGGTGACCACCAGTTAGGCTGAGGGCTCTTGTACAGATGGAGGGGAGAGGTTAGGTTGTGAAAGGAAGGCCTAATTTTTTAATAATATAAAAACTTCTTTTGCTTTCTTATTACAAAAACTTTATATGTTCATTTGGATATATTATGAAATACAGATGAATAGAGCTATGACTCTCACGATTTTGAATCATCTACTATAAATCTTTCTAGATCTTTTCTTATAGATGAATTATACACAAATACACAAATGTACACATATGTGCACACACAAAAGTAAAGCAGAATTTTTTGTGGTCCTCTTTCTATGCCAATAATTTTTAATTTGTAGCATTATCACTAATGTTTGATATTACTTTGTTATGTTAATTATATCCCAGAAATAGAATTGGTAGGTGGATTGTGTTCCAACTTTGGCACATACAAAGACTTTAGATATATAGTGCCAAATTGTCCTCTAGAAAAGATATATCCACTGATACAAAAAAAAAGATCTACTTTGAGTCGCCACTAGGTACATTACATTCACATGACATATTTAACTGGAAGCTTGTATTTCCTGACCCTCTTCACCCATTCCTTCCCCTCCACAAGCATGGTGACTATAGTCAATAATATTGTGGCATATACTTGAGAGCTGCATAGAGATAAAGTCCTAAAACTGAATTGTTGTAAGGTGATGGATAGTAATTAGACTTCTTGTGGGAATCATTTTGTGATGTATTCAAACATTAAGTCATTATGCTGTACACCTGGAACTAATATAATGTTATATATCAATTATATAGCCCTCAATAAAAAGTTAAAAATACAAAGTTTCAGTGTAACATAAAAATCCTGCAACTGGGAACTCTTGACTCAGCCGTTGATGGGTTTTCAGCTAAATTCTTAGGGAGAAAAATGTGGAAACCTGTGACCATTGAGAATCCATGCCACCAGTGAGCCAGGACAGAGGTGTGGTAGAGGAGAGTGGAGCGTGGTAGAGGAATCTTAGTGATGATCGGTGGAGGGAAAGCCTGGTAGAAGGAGCATGTCCTGTGCCCAGATGGGAGTTCGAAACTCCCTTAAGAGGGGCCACACTGGGTCAGCAACTAGGAGTCTGTCATTGAGCAAGACAGCCATGGGCTGTGGAGAATGAAGAAATGTGAACAGGCGAGTCATGTTGCTCACTTGAGAGGAGCCATATCCCCGATGGTCTCTGAAAGGGTCAGCAGGGACCTGTGAGCTGAGGTTCCATAGATTTCCCTGTAGAGAGCCTGAGAGCACTGTGATTATGACCCCTGGCTGTTAATTTTATCCCTTAGGCTTTCAGGGCCTGGGAAAATACAGGTTATGCTAGGGAATGAGAACAGAAGGACAGATGGGGCTTTTGGAATTTTTATGTATTAATGGAAGATGCTATTTGATGTTGGTTCTTTGCCCAGTATAAGATCCCAGGGGACACACTTAAAAGGAAAGCCAAGCTAATCTTAAATGAAAAAGAAAATATTTTATAAACATCAAAATTATGTGGCACTCAATAAAATGTGTTGGCAAGTAAACTTCTGCTACATAATAAGATAAATAAAATAGGTTAATTCCTTTTGGAAGAAGAATTTCAATTCCACTTATCATGGAGATGAATTTTCAACAGGAACCTTCCTAAGGCAGATAAGCAGTGGTCTCTGATTTAGTGGTGGATGGCTGCAGCCTCAGGCAAAAGGGGACTAGCACCTTCTTTGTTGTGTAGAAAGGTGCTACTGCTCTTATTTGTTTCAAGATGTTGGCAGGCTCCTGATCATCTTTGGGCCTTGACCCTGGAATATCAGACATCACTCATACATCAGAAGGATGGTCATGTCGATCCTCATATGGAACAATAATGTGGAGAATTAACATTTGGTGTGATTTCTCTGAAATGTAGACTTAGCTGCCAAAGTTGCTTCCAAAAGTAAACTTATGCTCTGTACATTTGCCCAAGGCAATGAATAAATTTCCAATAAAACAAACAAATAACTCTTTCCCTGGGGTTGTTTCCTTCTATCTTCAAGTGGTACCACGGAGAATTAATTACTTCATATTCTCGCTCACTATAGCCTATGACATTCAGAACGGTTGTGGACAAACAGGCCTTACCGTCCATCACTGGTTTTGGCTGAGAGCTCTTGAGGCGCAGCGAGGGCCGGAAGCGGGTTCGGTCGTTGAAGCTCCAGCTTTTCTGCACTTTGGTGGGGCTTCCCTCAGCTGTGATGTCTGTGCTTGGGGATCTCCGGTCGCCGACTGAGGCTTGTCTGCTCTTGATACTCTGGCCCCTTGGGCTGGCCATTCGCACTCGCTCCTTAAAACTTAGCTTCTGACTGTGGAAAACATGTCATGATTATTACATGTCAAACAATTTCTTCCACTAAACTTGGGTAAATAATTTGATGAAACTGTATATGGTATATTTCAACAGACAAAATATTTTCAACAAGCAAAACATAGTGATATATTTTTCCCATATTGAAAAGTTTCTTTATTTAATCTCTCTGTTTCATTTGGAGTCAACCTCATTCTACTGGTCTACACACCCTTCCTTCCTGGACTCATCATAGAAAGGACAGAGATCCAGTACAGTCGATGAAACACAACTACACTGGAAATATCCAAGATCTGGTTTGGTATTAATTTTTAAAACTGATTCTAGCCTTAACCTTAACTTTTGAGATTTATAAAAAGTTACTTTTTATTTGGGAGCATGTTGTTTTGTAATTCTTTAACATTTCTACAGGAAAACAGGGTTGACAGTTACAGATATATCTACATTCTGCATGCAGTTTATAATCCAGGCAAGATTATGATATCCATAAATTCATGCAATCTCATAGCAGTTGGTAGCACTGTGTACATAACACTAAAAACACAACACTTAACACCACATTTCTTTTATGCTTACATTCATTCTTGTGAGACAAGAAACACACAAGGTAGAACAGCTTCAACATATAATGAATGTGATGACTGATTAATGGGATGAGATATTTATTATGCTCACTAACACAATTTCCTGCTATAAAACAGGTTATTGATTTGCTGTGGCAGCTACTGGTAAATTATATTTGTTCAGACATTCACTTCTCAGATGCCAGCTAGGATTGAATTGTGGGTTGATAAAGGAAGCATTAACCACAACAAAATCCAAAGGGCCTCTCCATACTTTCCCAATTTTGAGATGTAGGAGGTGGTGGGTGGGGCAGGTTGGAACCAAAGCCACTTGCGTTTTGGCGTTCTCAGCTCTGTTATGGAGACAAAAGCAGCAACCGAGCCAAGGGATTTTTGTGGGAATCAAATGAACCAGAAGAAGCTTTGTGTACCCATTTGTTTGTTTTCTTGTTTCATTTATAAACCACAGTGTTATTCATCAGAAAGTGACATTGTTATTGAGAGACGCAGTATGCTTCATGACCTGGAGAACTGAGGGGTAAATGGCTTTCCCTTGGAAAGCTACTCTGAGATGCTGCGACCTGTAGCCTTTGGGGGCATGAGGGTCCATGAGAAGGATTTTCTGAGGCAAAGCAGAGGCCTTGTCTTTTCCACTTACCGCATTGTCCACTGTCCCCAACTGCAGCATGCCAACAGCAAATGTGTTTAGTGGATATGTGTTTTGTAGCTAACAAGAAACAGTAACATTTATTTTTTCATGCTTAGTTGCTTAACAAATGATGTTCTAAAAAGGCATCACATTTTATGTGTGTTTACATGAAAACAAATCTGATAATGAACTACAGTGATCAGAAAGTCCTGGTAACAGTAAACAAATTGATCATGCAACTGACAGCTCCCCTCTGAAATGCAGACATAGCTAAGTCCAGCACGACTAGCCAAAGGCACATGCAGAGAACAGGCTGGGCAGTTTTGTGATGGGGTCAGGTGGGTTCAAAACTTCTTTAAAACAATCCCGTAAGCTGAAGGATTTCTCTGTACCTGGCAAAAATGTGTTTAAATGGTAGATTGCATTAAATATCAGTAACAATAACATGATAAAACTGCATCTTCTTGTTTTCAGGCTTGTTTTCCATGTCATCCAAAGCCTCGAAATTATTTAAACAAATCTTCAAGGGGATAGTGCTGAAAATAGCTACTTTTCTGTAATCGTAAAAATTACAATTCTTTGCAGGGCAGCTCATCTGTGCCATCATTTAAATTTATGAAGAACTGGTTCAGGAGCATATGCTCATATGCCGTTTTCTCTAGAGTCATGAATGCTAAAGTCAATATAGTTACCGTCACAAGTGTTCTCACTCTACTTTATCTAATCTATTACCTTTTCTGCCACTAACAGATGTTAATTATTAGAGAAGATTGGGTTTAATTAATATAATATTCCTTTCTCAAACTTTCAAGACATATCTCTTTCCAATGACAATTAAATGAGCAGAATGATTAAAAACATCATGAAACCATTTAATGTAAAATTAGTTTTTCTTTTTAAAAATTTCAATTACTGAAAAAGTAAAAATTTCTAAAATAAGCTTTAATATCATATATACCATGGCTTATTTACAATAACAAAATATTAAAAAGTTGCTCCTATGAAATATTACAAAAATTACCTCATGGCATATTTTGATGTTCTCTTTAGGAATGAATGGGATGTGAAAATAACCTGAATCTTGGTATAATTTAAAGCACTTAATATACCTGAGTTCTAGGTTCCATTCCTCCCCCCCACCCAGCCCCGTCCTTTTAAACTGCATTAATTTTTGCCAATGGCTAGTCTTAAAATAATTCTCAAGTACTCTTATAAAGTGAAATTCAACATATTACACAGTAAACTAGAAAAATAATGTAATAGTTTCATTCTCCTTTGAGATAATTGTATAAAAGTTAAGACTAAGATCCTAATTCAGATTTTTTTTCCAATTCAGAAATTTTTAAGCAGACTGATTTTCTTTTCCAGGGCACAGATCTATTCTTGTGTCCTCTCACAAAGTCTCACTTTTTTATTAGTTTTCCTACGGCATTTCCCTTTTAAAAATCAACAGAGTGTCTTGATTAGATGACTATTAAACTGATTAACTGATTAGGTGGTTGTTATTGAAAACACACATTGATTAAAAATATAGGCTCTTCACTGGCCCATTGACATTTTCATTATTTTCTTGCTTTTTGGTGACATCTGTGAACATTATTTTTGAGGAAGATTTATATATGTGTTTTTAGGAAGAATCCCAAGAGACCAACAAGTAGGTCTCTCTTTGGAGAAAGTAACCAAAAGGTCGCTGTGGTCACTGATTGCGGCATCTTTCTTAGTCTGCAGCCCCACAAGGCCAGCTGAGAACCATACTCAAGGGACCTCCCACAACCAGCTCTGTGAGGGATTTCTTCCCAGCACAAGTTGGCCAGGCACGCAGCCTGCTACTGCATGTTCTCTGCCAGGGAACCGTGTGACACCGCCCTAACCCCACAGTAATCCTCTCGGACTTAGGATGCGGTAGTTATTGTTATACTTAATTAGGGTTTTAGCCTTTCCTAGGATAAGCTTTCTCCAAATTCTCGCCCCAGGCACATCATGGCAACGGAGCCAGAACAATCCAGTGCGTGCAGCAGCTCAGCGGTTGCGTCACCACCAGGAGGCGCCAAGCGGCTGACTGCCAGGCCTGCGCAGGACCCTGCCTTATTTGTCTCTGGGGAAGAAAGTATCAAAGCAGGCAACAGGCAACAGGGAAAATTTACAAGCGGGTTGAAAACCTCGTTCAAGAAGTCCTGAGGAAGAGTGAGTCCTGAGTAGCGCTCAGGTAGGGCAGCGGTATGGCCTGCTCATGCACCTGAGGTTAGTTGGCATTCTCAAATTTCATGTCAATAGCCGGGATGCTGGGTACCTCTGCTTCCGTGAGGTGTACATTCTGAAGAGCTTCTGCTTATTACTACAGACCTTACTAGGAGTGAGGGAAATAGAGCAGCACATTACTAAGCATTTCACCGCCAGGAAAGTGCGTAGGGATTTTTCTTTTTTTGCGAAACAAAGCCATTCGACTATTGTTTTCATATATAAGTACAGACTGTTTTGAGCACTAAGCACTATTTTAATCGTGCTGCTCAAAATATACCCAGTGCTCGTAATGGGGAAGTTGAAATAATTAGATTTGACATAGGATTATAATGGTAGTCTGTGTCAGCGTCTGATTTATTATGAAAATAAGAAAACTATTTTAAACTATAGCAACCTTTTTAATAAATAGTAATATAATATAGATGGTTGTGGGATAAAGTATTTCATAACTTTAAAATATTCATTTAATCAATTAACATTCGTTGTATTGCAATTAAAAAGCAAATTCTTGATTTGTATGAAAGTCTGCAATTACAGTAAATATAGGTAACCAATTGTCAGAATGCTTTTCAAAAAGACAGAAGACAGCTTCTAGGTTGCCAGTTTTTTTTAAAAAAATATTTCTTATTTTAAGTCTTATGATGTGTTTTTAAAAGACCAAATCCTTCCCCCCATCAATAAATGTGAACAGAAGGAGCAACTATTTTGAAAAGATTGTTTTTGAAACATTTTAACATTTTGCCAATAAAGACACACATTGCTGAAAAAAAGTGTCTGGTCTCACTGAATTTAGTTTAACAACACATGCAGATCACTCATTGCACAGAGAAGAAAGTAAATGCAAGTAACAGGAAATAAATGCAGAAGAAATCTGAGAACACACAGTCTTTCCTGTCAGTGTTCTAGAGTGCTCTCTCAGAACCCAATAAAGTCAACCACATTGGGACAGTTCAGAGAAAGCCCTCATCGGGTCATAGCACAAGACTGTAATTAATAAAGTAATTTGAAATATGCTTTAAGACATGCATCTTTATAACAGCCTCACAAATACCTATTCAAATAACTTTAGTAAGAAATATGACAGGTTTCTATTAATTCCTTATAAATTTCGATTCTGGCAGCTTAACTGTGAAGCAGGCATTGAGTCAGAGTGACAGTGAGATTTACTGATAACCCCCAAACCTCTGATGGTTTGATTTCTTCTTGTATCAGTAAAAATGTATCAGGTAGGAAGAAATAAAAGCCTCCTCTACCAGTGTGATGAGTTAAGTCACAAGTGACTTGGTAGCTAACTGACCTTGTCAAGGAGGAAGGAAGATGGATATAAGAACTCAAGGTGAGAATACTGGCATAGTGTAGGAGGGGAGTATATAGGTAATTCTGAAAGTGACAACTTACACCAAAATATAGAAAAACTGTCTAGTTTAAGAAATGAGTTGGAAAATTGCTAATGGGATGATTTTAGAATAAAATCAATAAACACACTTACAACCACAAATGAAACTCACATTGTTTTAATGGGCAGACAGAAGAAAACAAATAACTAAATAATGCTAATGAAGTTGTATTTGTGGCCTAAGTAGAGGAAGAACATTGCAAGCTTAGCTGAGACCAACAGTAATTTGTATCTGACCCTGCACCAAACAGAGTCAAAGAAATATTCTCACTTTGTTCAGTTGAGCTCTTCCTGAAACTGAAGCTTGTCTTTTTTAAAAAAAGCTTTAGATTTGTCATAGACAATACAAAACGTCTTGGAACTGGATGTCTCCCTTTGTGGCCTAAGACATCATAGTTGAAATTTGTTTAAACATAACCCCAATCTCATAGTAGAAAGACACATGCTTCTCTTTTTATATGCGTATTCCAGACTAGGGAAGCTAGTTAAGTAAAGGTACATATGAAGGTGACATCAGACTCATTCTGCAGAGAGGAACGTCCCTCTTGGTCTGGCCTGGTTTACAGTGGTGGCTCTCTCCTTAAGAGGGAATCACTACTGTATCAAACTCATCTAAACTGGATTACTTTCAGTTCTTAACACAATGAAAAATCATTAAGAAGGGTTTAGGGGAGTCCAGACTTTAAAATACCTAGGAGATAACAGGTATTTTGGCTCAACTTTATCTATTCCGCTTACCTGATCACCATCAATAACCTAACAGTCCTACACAGTAAAGGACTCTCACATGGAATGTGTTAATTAGTCCATTTGAAATTGGGTCAAATATTAATCAACAATACTCTGGACCTAAAGCTGCTCTTTTCCAAGGCAGAACTGTTATTTAAAAGCATTTCCTTTGTGCAAATTTTGCTGGTGTAAGGACAAATTTGTTATTTCCTCAGATGCTTCTATTGTTACCACAATAGTCTTCTTTCATTCATTATGCAATATTAATAAATTCCAATGACTTTGGACACAGTAAGGTAAAAATCAGGCTAATATTAAAGGTGGAATTTCTGCTTATTTCCCTTACATTGTAGCATATTTTAAATTTTCTATCCTATATGTTTCATCTGTTTCATCTTTCCCTTTTTTTTCTTTTTTGATTTGTGAATTTCTTTATACAAACTACTTGAGGTCACGAGCACTTTATTACTCTATCCAGGAGTTACTTATTGAGGACATTTTCTGTCATAGTTTTACACAGGGTGATGTGATGTATGTTGAGGGTTACAAGACCTGAAAGGGTGGAGTATGAAGATTTAATTCATGAAGTCAAGAATACCATTTAGCAGTGCACGATATGTCTCAACGTGGACATTTGGCTGGAGAGAAGAAAGAAATCACTGTGTGATTCTTTAATAATGTAGCTTAGTGCTTCCGTATATATTCAAATGAGTTATCTTCGTGAACCAGAGAGAAAACAGACAGAAGGAATTTTAATGTTTTGCATATATGTATATGAGTATCATGAAATTTAGAACATTTGTGGGTAGTCTTTTTTGAATCTTAATAGCTGACCAGGGAGGTTCATTTCTGGATGGAGGAGTAATAGTCATACTTCTGTCTTTACTTTCTCACTGCCCTGTAATTTACAAACCTCCCATTACATGTCCTTCTCCCTCTTCCTGTTTTGGAGGATGAAACCATAGCAGGTGATTTTATTCTCATGTAGCTATAGAGTTTGTGACAAGGATGGTCTCTTCATTGGAGACAACTCACTCATTGAGATAATTTGTAAATATCTTTTGAGACAAGGAAAGCTTTTAAATATCACCAAAGGAACTAACAGAGCTTATAACAGCCATGATTTTTTTCATGTACTTTTTTAAAAAAAAAAAATTTATTTATTCATGCATTCAGACTGGGGTACAGGCCAGAGGTGCAGGGGTGGTGAGAGGCTTCACCAGAAACAGAGTGGGGTGCAGAACAGGCCAGTGACGAAGTACACTGCTGAGGGGAGCAGCGGGCAGGTCAGGAGAGGTCTGCCGTGCCATGTGGGTCACCTCCAGGGTGGGGATCGAACTCATGCTGAAGTGGCTTTAGCTTTTTAGTGCTGTGCTTTAACTGGCTGGCCACCACGGAGGGCCTCATGTAGAGTAACAAGAGAAGGATGGTGGGGTTTGCACGAATTCTAGACAAAGGAGGGCTAGAGGGTCAATATCAATTAGATTGACTCTTCCAGTTTCTATGCAAAGAATGTTCTAGTAACTAGAACTTCTCTTTGGGCAGAACGATCTCTAAAGAGAACAACTCTTCAGTCTACAGAAACTCTTCCTCTCCAGGAATATCCAATGCTCTTTGCTCTAATTCTCTCTCTAATTCTCAAATAGAAAAGCTTTAGAGTCACTTCCTGTGGGTGGTGCTACTGGGGAGGAGTGCCAGATATGCAGCCCTACCCCATCTTAGATCCCATGGTAAATGAATGCATTTATGTATTTGTGAATCTTTCTCAGTCTTTGTTGATCCAAAGTAGCAAAGGATGACCTGGAGCCTGCTCACCCCAAATGAACTTCCAAAGTTAGTTTCAGCATGTAAAAACATATGATTGATGTCAGTTCAAGAGTACAAATTTAAGGGAATGATCCTGGGACCCAAACTGACCTTCACTCAGGGGCAGGATCTGGGCAGGGTTTTACTCCTGACCCTTTCTGACACTCACTGACACAGATTAAGTGTTTTCTTTCAGTTCCTATCCCCTGTAGGTCTAACTCTCTGCTATTTAATCAGATAAAGCATTTCCATCTGAGGCATGAAAGAATGACTATAAATTATTTGGTAACATTTAGGGGGGGATTATATTCTTCTTAAAGGAATTTATAGGATGGAGGGGACTCTTGTTTTGAAAGTAAACCTTGTGCTCAGTGAACTGGTGCTTCACAGAGAGCTTGTACCCTTCTGTACAGTGTTTCTTATGTTGACAAAGAAAAAAGAGACAAAATTTCTCACTCTAAGGACCCTAATGAAGAGAAGTAGAAGTACTTCTTCCAGGGATTTTAATGTTTGGGTGAGACTTCTGTAGGACAAATGGTAGCAAGAATAACCAAAGGCCATAATTATTATTCACTCTCCCGAGCACCCTCCCTCCCCCCAGAATGTTCCATGCCTTGAAGATTATAAAAAGCAGTGAGTGAGTTAGAGAAACTTTGCTTCCATGGGGTGGGGGGAATCAATAAAACAGCAACCTTTGCAGGCATCCTGTGAAAGGTCACTTTTAATCATCTTGAATTTGTTGATCGATTTTACTCACACGAGACACATTTAAAACATCTGTTAGGCATCAGATTTATAAACAAGTAGCAGAAGAGAAATCACAAACCTGCTTGACGCTTCCCCTTGTTCTTTCCTTCAGGTGCGTGCAGACAGAAGAGAAATGATGATAACTGGTGAATACATTTATGGTACTTGATATTGACCAAGTTGAAGATAAGGGAATCAAATATCCTAAACAATCCTTTTCCAGCAAGATCCATAGAAGCAATCCTTATAATAAATGTGCCCAACTTCCTAACATATGTTCTTTGGGGAAAACAGATCTGACATAGTGAAACGTTTATTTAGCAAAACCAATACTACCTACAGGTAACTGGACACTATAGACCCTTCATTAGCCAAAATCATCTAGTAGTAAGAGAAACTGGTTCTGATCTAATTAACATCAACAAAGACTAAGAATGGCACTGTCTACACAGTAGCCATAATCCTTGGGCTTTAGGTAGACCACTGGATTTCTTAATCTTGATTCATTCATGACTGTGGTTTGTATTTTAATCATTTGTGGAGGCAGATTTGATTTTCACATTATACAAAGTATAATGACCTTGAAGTAAATTAGAAAGACAGAAAATCTGTCAAAACTATTTGATCCTGGTATTGAATGATATTTTTCATAATCCATTTTAGCAATTCAGGTTTCTACAACAGCATGTTGAGCCCCTAGTCCTTATAAATGAGCTGGGTGTCTTCAAACACCTTAGTTTCTTGTGGATCTTGATTTTCTTGTGAATAAATTAAAGGGATAGATTAGGTAATCTCCCACTCCGACACCACACACTACCCATGCTCAGAGTCTGAAAATTCACCATAGTTTATACATTATCTGCTTTATTCCCCAAAATAAGCACATTTACCTGTGTTTTACCCTTTGCATAGCCTTCAAGCCCTTTGAGAAGAAAATCAAGGAAAACATGTGCCTCTATAAATCCTTTTGTTATTAAAACAAGACTTTTAAATGGCAACTTCTAAGACCTCTAAAGCGTATGTAACAGACAAATCAGACCAGAAAGGCGTGCTGGGTTGTACCCCTTGGGAGGTTCGAGCCAGTAAGGCGTGCCCCTCATGCTGCCCCCTCCTGCACACTTTTTCTCTCCCACCCTGCTCTCAGGGATGAGGATGTGGAGTCAGAGCGTCCTATTCGTGTCTCTAAGGCTGGTGATTGCCAATGACAATTATCACTGATGCTGTTGATAATACGCTCTGGTCCCTGATCAGCTCTTTGAAATTGCAGCCTCTAATGCTTCCTAAATCCCTTCCCTACTTGGTGTTTCTCCTTAGCATTTATTACACTCTAATCTATTATGTCTTTATATTTATTGTCATTACCCAGTATCTTTTAAGTATGTACTTACTGAGGGCTGAGACTCGAACCTATTTGATTTTCTCTCCAACGGTTGTATTCCTAGTGTCTGGGTCAGTGCCATGCACATAATAGATGCTCACTGAATACTGTTGAATGCATGCATAAATGAATGAATGAATAATCTCTTCTCTTAGAAGTTCTGATACTCTGAAGGTTATAGGGAAATACATGATACAAGTAAAAAATGTTTCTTACTGCATCACTGTATTCCTGAAGCCAGTTAGTTATAAATATAAAAATATCTTTCGAAGTCACTGTAAATTATTCTCTTCACAAAACTGCAAAATTGCTTAAAGCTGGCTTGCTTTCTAAAACAGAGGTTCTGAACTTGTCTTTAGGGAGTCTGTGAACAAATTAAAATTGTAGGCAAAGGTTAGATTTTTTTGTTTACTGAATGTTTTTTGTTTTTTTTTTGGAACGACTCCACAATTACAATCACATTCTCACTGGTTTAACAAAGAAGGAAAACAACAGCAACAAGAAGAAAGATTACAAGCCACTGCAATTTGGAGAATGAGATAGCCATGAAGGAAGAAATGTTAGGGCATTCAGATTCCCCTGAACTTTGCTAGTGACTTCTGTGTCATTCTGGACAAATACCTGTTATTCTGTAAATGAGGCTGCCAAGCAGAGGTTAATGAGGTACAGGGAAAGGAGAGTGAGGGGGTTGGTTGATAACTCCAGGGAACACGATGAATGTAGCTGTTTGTGTAAATTTCCCACCATCACCATCTCCCCATTTAAAAGAAGGAAATGTTAGAGGCAAAGAGAAAATTTTGAATTAAAAAAAGTTCATGCACTGGGAGAATCTGACTCATTGAACAGTTTTTCCAGGCTTTGGAATGACTTTTAATCTAAAAACTGCAGGAAATGGGAAGTCAAATAACCATGTATGATAATAGGCCACTTGCTTCTGTCACTTCAGAAATTTTTTGGTTTTTTCTATTTAGTCTTCCTCATATATATATGTAGCAATCAGGGAATAAGTCGTGAATATGTGCCCAACTTCTCCACATGAGTTGGAGGTTTCTCTGGCTTTGCCAAGTTAGGTAGCTTGTGAAGCTCCTAGGATGACAGTTTTGTTGGGCTCTGAGGGGGAACAGCAGGTACTTCAAAAATACTAATCAGATAAGCCACATTTGAACAACCTGTGGAAATGACTGTTGTAATCAATGTGGGTGACTCATTGTAAACCTTTCCTTGGACTTATTTGCTTTGGTTGTTTCACTGAGGATTTCTTTAATTAGATAGCGATTGATTTAATGTGTGTTGTGCTAGTGGACTTGGAGTCCATGGTTCTGGGACCAAGGAATTTTTTTTTAAAGTTCACCGTGGCAAACATCAGGATCATTCAAAAATGTTCTGGCTCTCCTTTTTTTTTTTCCTTTTTAAAGATTTATTTATTTTATGCATACAGGACTGTGGTGCAAACCAGAGGTGCAGAGGCGGTGAGAGGATTCACAGAGCTGGGAGCAGGACAGGCAGATTGATGATGTACACTGCCGAGGGGAGCAATGGGCAAGACAGGAAAGGTCTGCAGCACCATGTGGGTCACCTCCGGGGTGGGAATCAAACTCCTCTGAAGTGGCTGCGGCCAGCTTAGTACTGCTGTGCTTTAACCTGTTGCGCCACCAAGGAGGGCCCCTGGCTTTTCCTTTCCATGTATGTGCTGGGACTACATTTCCCCATCTGCACTGAGCTGTGGCATGACCAGGTGATTTGCTTTGGCCAATGAAGTGTAAGCGGAATTAATAGTACCAAATACTAATTTGAAAGCTAATTTCAAATTTTAATTTGGATTGGTTGCATCATCTCATTGTAAACCATCATCGCATTTGCACCCTGATTCTTCTCCTACATGACTACTGATATTAGTTTGATATGAAAGTAAAAATTTGAGGTCCATCCTGTAAAGGCATCCAGACTTTGAGGGACTTAAATGTGCAAGGATGATTGCTATCAAAGCCCTCCCACTTGAGGTCAGCTGATAAATGGAGTTTAAGTCATCACTGTTTGTTAAGAGCCATGGTGCTTACCATTAGCATTCTGGTGGGTTTTTGGAAACAAAATAGTAGAAATTTATCTCCTTGAAAATTTAGTTCCTTTCATCTTTAAACTCGGTCTACAAATGCTGAGGAATGACATTGAATCCATTTAGTTTTGGACAAGTTGCCTCTGTTGCGACTGAACAGTTTTAAATTTCTCAAAGAGCATCAGAGAAGACAAGCCCCAAATCAACATGTGTGACGTGTGTGTGTGTGTGTGTGTGTGTGTATGGTTTGTTTTTCAAATCTGGAAGATTAGGTACAGTGTCGTACTGATACCTACTTGGTAGGGCTGCAGGTATGCAAGGCCTTCAAGTGGGGTTTCCAGGTTGCAATGGAAACAGATTTCTCATCAGCTGCATAACTACGCCAAACGCACTGCACGAGGACATGAAAAAGAAAAAAGAGAAAAGGAAACAGGATGAAATGAAAAAGGAGATTATTAAGTTAATATACATTGGTAATATTTTCCTTGTCATACTTAGCTCTGATAAATGCCCTAGGGTGAAGAAAATGACTTGTGTTCAGTCAGCAGTTTAAAATATTCTGTTATGGCAAGAGAACTGCTTTGTGTAACAATGCCAAAAAAACAAAAGTACCAAAAAGTTTATCAGAAAGTTAATTTTGAATAGTTTATGAAAACTACTTGAGCAGAAACATGCATTCATATCTTTTTTTTTTTTAAAGATTTATTTATTTGTGCATACAGAACTGGGGTACAGGCCAGAGACTCAGGGGTGGCGAAAGACTTCACCAGAGACAGAGAGGGGAGCAGAACAGGCAGATTGACGAAGTGCACTGCTGAGGGGAGCAGCGGGCGGGTCAGGAGAGGTCTGCCGCGCCATGTGGTCACCTCCGGGGCAGGCGGGGATCGAACTCATGCGGAAGTGGTTTCAGCTTCTTAGTGCTGTGCTTTAACCCGCTGCGCCACCAGGGAGGGCCGCATTCATATCTTTAATAAGTGTTTGATGAGAGGCAAAAACACTGAAAAACGGGTAACACAACTAATAAAGTAAACTGTATAAGGGCCCTCCCTGGTGGCGCAGTGGGTTAAAGCACAGCATGAGGAGGCTGAGGACACTTCCTCATGAGTTCGATCCCCACCTGCCCCGGAGGAGAGAGGTCAGACCTCTCCTGACCCGCCCACTGTTCCCCTCAGCAATGTACTTCGTCAAACTGCTTGTTCTGTTCCCCACTCTGTCTCTGGTGAATCCTCTCACTGCTCCTGCACTTCTGTCCTGCACCCCAGTTCTGTATGCATAAATAAATAAATCTTTAAAAAAAAAAAGGTAAACTGTACACTAGCTAGTAAACTAATGACCGTGTTAATAATTTAGTGAATTTTTCTGAAGTACTCCATAGTACTCCTAATGCTAAAAATGTAGATAGAGATAACAAAAAGCAGAGCTAAAACAAGATGGGGGAAATGTATCCTCTGCAATTACTAGGGCCCAGTTGGAAAACAATGTTTCAATGTTATTCTAACAATGTGTTTATAGCTCTTTAATGTAAAACATAAACTCTGTCTACTTGATATAATTATACTTGACATATATGACACAAAGCATGTCATGCTATTCTTACAGATTAAGACTCTTCTGTTGTAGATGAGAAGATAAAGGTTCAGATAAATTAAGATGAGAAGATAAAGGTTCAGATAAATTAAGAGGTTTATATAAGATTGGTAGTGTTGGAGACAGTCTCTCAGAGATCAGCTCCTAAGATCGGTTTTTGATGCCAGAATTTCTCCACTGTCTTTTACTAACTGTTGCTGACTGGTGCTGGGAAAGCCTCCCTCTGAACGTTTTATGTGAGAGATTGCCTGAACTTCCTTTCCATATAAATTTGGTGGTTCTTTTCCGTTGGAGTAAGTCTGCTAAATGTAATGGCCAAGTATTTAATCCCCTGACATAAATTTTTATTGTAATTTATAAGACAGGGCATTCTATTCATTTACAAGGATCCTTTCCTCTACTATATAATCATCATGCATGATTTTGAAAACCTGCAGTGAAGAAAACAGTGATTTGCTTTTTGTTTTCCCAAGAATATCACTGGATATATGTGTGCTGAACATAAAGAGTTAAAAATGAACCTAAATACTTTGAAAAGCTGCTTTGCAGTATCTATTAAGCTAAACACACACATATAAGCTGAACTACAGCTAGACTCTTATATATATACTCACCAGATAGGTTTATTTGTAATCACTGAAAGATAAGTATTATAATGCTCAGAGCAGCACTATTCTTAATAAACAAAGGCTGGAAATGATCAAACACCTATCACCAGCAGAATAAATTGGGGTATATTAGCCAAATGGAATAGTACATAGTAGTAATACATTTATGATTATGCTCAAAAGAAAGGATGAACTTTCCATGAGTAATGTTGAGTGAAAGAAATGAGACACAAAAGAGCACATGTGGTGTGATTCCATTTCCATAAAATACAGGCATCAGGGAGAACTAATCTATACTATTAGAATGAAGGACAGTGTTACCCTGGGGGATAGTAACGGAGAAGGGGACACAGGAGCTAGTGGTCACGGTTGTTTCTTTACCTGGGTGCTGACTCAGTTCTCCTAGGAAATGTGCTCTTCTCTGTATGCACATATTTCAATAAAAGTGTTCAAGAACTGACAGAAAAACTAGTACCTGAGGGATTTTTTTTTTAATGTTTTAAGAAGATTTAAAAAATTGAAGCAGGATTCTTGCCTGGAGTATTGCTTACATGACTTACACTGATTTACACCTATAAATCTGTGAAAACGTATTCTAAGCAGCCTGGCAACTTACAGAGAATAAAGTAATTATCATAGTAGCATCCTGAAATGTTAGTTTTTATAAATGTTATACAGACACAATATAGCAAGTGATTTAGAGTAATCAATGAAAGCACACAGACTTATCATTGCAGCTTCTGGAATGAGACCCAGAGAATATCCAATATTGTGATGGCACAGACCGCTGCTTAAATTAAACAATTTTCATAGATAACATCATATATATGTGAATTTAGATATTTTGAAAGGAAGACTCGTATAGAAATGGAAACACACAACAGTTCTGTGCATTATCAGGTAACAGTGAAAAAGATCCCAAAAACTACCATAAAATCCTAGGACCAAGATATTACCTAGCAGTGTTAGAAAGAATAGGGGACAAAAAACCACTTAGAAAAATCGAAGTTTTTCTTGACAATGAAACCTGGTATCTTGCTTTTTTTTCTGTCAAATTGATCTTACAGTTACGCTTTATTTCTGTTCCCTAAAAATGTCTTATAAAAGGAGACACAGAAAAATCAAGTAACATCTACCTCAGGACTGCTATTAGTTAACAATCAAACTGCAAATGGAAAGTGAAGTCTACTTAATACTATTACACTTCAGTAACTATGTACTATCCTTAGCATTTTCTCTCTCAGATAAATGCTTCTGGTAGTTGAACCTCAAGGCCTTAGCCATATGATCAGGTAACTGATGTTACTATATTTAAAGTCAAAATTGCATAGTGGTTGGTAAGAGAAAAATAACGCCCTAGAGGAATTTAATTTACATAGTATATATACTCCAATGTATAAGTCAACAAGAAGAAAATGAAAATCACAGTGAAGTAGCAAGAAGCAACATGAAAGCCAAGTTTATCAGATGACCCTGGAGCCCTAGTTAGCCAAACAAATTCAAAATTTGCTCTATAATTGTAAATATAATGTCAGTATAATTAAGTTCTTAGGGAGTATTCAGTTTGTATTGTCTGGAGTATTACAGCTATAATACATCTGACCCTTTTCTGGAAATTTTAATTTCAGCTGACCATCCAAAAGTATAATTAACTTGGAACTGATTATTTTCAAGGAGCAGAATTTAAGAAGTCAGAGAACAAAAAGACTTAGAGGATGCAACCTAGCAAAAACCCTTTCCCTATCTTGCTTCTTATTTATTTTTGTTAGAGTCAAAGCCTTCCATTATGGTAGTTGCTATTTCCATTCTTAATAACCCTTATTTTTTAAAAATATATTATTTTGACTGAGATAACAATGGTTTACAAAACTGTGTGATTTGGGAGTATAAATTCATACTTTTTCAGATGTATGTTACCACAAAAGTACCCATAATCCTTTTCCACAGAGCACTCACTCAGTGAGTTCCCACATGCTTTGTTTCCATCCCGCCATCCCCTGTGGTAGTCTAGTTTTGGTTATGATTAAAGCACTGAAAAAGAGGTATAAGCTCTGTGTAGGTAGCTTGAGTTTACTGACTGCTAACTTCACTTCAGAGCAACTGAGAAGTTACTTCACTAGAGGAAGATGAAGTTTCAATATGCAACTTTTCTCTTTGGGTCAGTTATCTTCCTCATAGCAGCCTCTTTGTAATATCCTCCCTTCAGGAAAATAAGTACACTTTAAGCCTTCATCTCATAAACTTTCATTTGACTATCCCATTTCTGTTTCTAGTAATGCATCTTTAGCTCCACCCTGAGTTGGTCCAGTCTCTCTAGAAGTAAACTCCTAACTGTATTTTTTGAAGTATTTTTAAAAAAAGATTTATTTATTTATGCTTACAAAATTGGGGTAAAGGCCAGGGGTGTGGAGGGTGAGAGGATTCACCAGAGACAAAATAGAGAGCAGAACAGGCAGATCTACTGAAATACACTGCTGAGGGGAGCAACGGCCTGGTCAGGAGAGGCCTCCCACACCATGTTGGTCAGCTTCCTGGCCAGGAATTGAACTTGTGCTGCAGTGGCTTTGGAGAGCTTCATAATGCAGTGCTTTAACCCTTTGCGCCACCATGGAGAGCCCCTTTTGAAGTATTTTTTTTTTCCCTTTTGAAGTATTTTTAAATGCTAATTCTAAGGCATTAGTGTGTGTGTGTGTGTGTGTGTGTGCATACGCGCCCTACATGCACAACTATTGCTATTTGAAAGTAATAATAGATTTTGATTTATTTTTTTTAAAAACAGACACCATGGATCTGAATCCTTTTGCCTCCTAGACTTGTCCTGGGACTTGAGTGACATAATGTATCAGAAGAACTCTGCAAACTAAAGAGTGCTAGGCATTATTAACAAAAGTTGTGACATTTAGACAGGCATTCAAAATGTTACTGAGAACACTGTTCTTTTCTAGACTACTTCACTTGAAATGAAAAGTTAATTTAAATGAATCATGCAAAGATATTGACAACTAAATTTGCTGCATGCGGCTGGGGTTTTAAACTTTCCCACCAAACTCTGAAATGCCAGTCAATTCATTTATCTCACCAATTGAATGACAAAACAATTTGGGAATCTCAATTTGGGAATCTCAGAGTTCTTTTAGAAAGTTAGTGGCTCAAAATTAAAACAAATGAGTTTGTTCTTGATGCTTTGTGCTCAGCAAATCAAGACAGGTTTACTGAGCAAGAAAATAAATTGAAAAGCAAATAAGGCTTGCTTTTCAATCTAGTTCATCAATAAAAACATATTTCTATGCTATATATTCGAGGCTTAAAGCGCTGAATTCTGGCTAAGGGTTACAGCAAGGAAGAATTATGCACATATTAAATAATTATTACTCTTATATCTTAGATAAGTGCATCTGGTTGGGGAATAATTTCTTTTCAAATTAGTAGACTCTACTTTGATGAATGAAACTAATTATGATTTTAAAGGTATTCTTCAACGTTTCAAGCACTTCATTTCATATTTTATTTTGTTTAGAAAAACATACAGGCTAGAGATTTAAATAAAAGAAAATTAATGATTTTACTCCATTGTAACCTTTACCTGTACAGGTTCAACTATTGATCACCATACCTGATATGTCATCGAGATTCATAAAATAAAATTCCACAAAATCCAACCAGAACTGTTCAATTAGTCTCTTTTCTTCTCTTGATGGGTTACCTGCCATGAAGGCCCTGTCTTGCTTTGTCGTGTACTTATTAATGCTTTGGGTTCATTGCTTTGTTGCAGGAGTAGTAATCTATTTTTAAGTTCAGCAGGAGATTGTTCTTGAACATTTGAAAATGGTAATTTGGTTCAGGAAAGTTCCTTTTATTATTCTCCATGTCTGTCTTGTGCAACATGATAGCCAAAAACCACATATTGACTATAGAATGCCTGACCTATGAGGAACTGAATTTCCAAATGTAGTTAATTTAAATGTAAATAGACACATGTAATTTGTGGCATTTAACTATTGGCCAGCAAGCTCTATATTATTACAACTATATATATATAAAAAATTCTTCAAAGGAATTCATTTTCTAACAAAAACTGATCTAAAATTTTCTTGACAGAGTTCCCCTTTAATATCCAGTAGTGTCAAGAGTCTGTACACTACAGTGGCTGCATTCTGATATGTGTTGATTAAGAGCTTTATCTGTGGTGCTCTTTGAAAACCTAGAAACTGAAGAAACACAGACTCTCAGTGGTTTGTATAAGAAGTCATGCCCAGTTGGTTCATTTCTGGATTAATAGTACAGAATACTTTGATTTAAAAATTAGTATTTCATTCAAAAGCTAACAAGTAATTTAAAAAAGATTTTAAATAAACTATATTCACGACAACAGGATCTGCATTTTCCTGAGGGCAACTATTCAAGATATATTTAAGATATGTTGATAGCATGGGTGCTACGGTGATAGGATAACAACAGGGACTACAGTGCTACGGTGATAGGATAACAACAGGGACTATCCCAAAAGGGAAAAGTCAAACACAACCCCAAAGTTAACAAAGATATAAGAAAATTAAAAAAAAAAAAAGATGTGTTACTGGTTCCATAGGTAGACAGGACTTGGGCCTGGGTAGATGCAAGAAAACCATGGAATAACTCCTGCGTTCATAAGTTGGAAAACATTATGTTAAAATTAAAAGATAAGAAATAGGGCCCTCCTTGGTGGTGCAATGGGTTAGAACTTAGCACTTCAAGCTAGTGAAGCCGCTTCATTGAGTTTGATCCCCACCCCGGAGGTGACCCACATGGCATGGCAGACCTCTCCTGACCTGCCTGCTGCTCCCCTCGGCAGTGTACTTCGTTAGACCTGTTCTGCTCTACACTCTGTTTCTGAATCCTCTCACCACCCCTGCACCTCTGGCCTGTACCTCAGTTCTGTATGCATCAATAAATAAATCTTAAAAAAATTAAAAGATAAGAAATAAATTAAGAATGATTAAAAGAAAAAAATAGTATGGAGCAACACTCACTAGAAATATGGAAACATCTCATTATTGGCTAAGGATAGAGGACTATCATTTCTGGGCCTCTGGGCAATTTGTGTGATAGTAAAGTGTGTGACACCTTTTTCATTATGGTGAGCATTATTTCGATACATCTTTTAAACTTCAGGGAGATTTTCCTTCAAGAAAAAAGGTTTTATCTTTGGCGCTCTTTTAAAAATCTAAAAATTTATGAAATAGAGACTCTCAGTGGTTTGTAAAAGAAGGTATGCCCAATGGTTCCTTTCTTTGTTACTAGTACAGAATTGGTTCATTTTAAAATTAGACTCTTCATTAATATCATAAACAAACACACTAAAAGATGTTCATTGTCACTTTTAATCACAGAAATGTCAAAGCCATAATGAGCTATAGCCTTACACTTAAAAAAATGGTTATTATCCAAAATACAAGTGTTGGCATAGGTATGGCAGAAAGGGAATCCTTGTACACTACTGGGAATATAAACTTGTGCAATAACTATAGCAATACCACTCTCCTCCCCCAAAAAAGAAAAACTATAGCAATATCAAAAGTTTAAAAAAACATAGAAATATTGTACTATATGATTAAGCAATTCCACTTCTGGGTATACATGTGAATAAAATGTGGCACACACACACACACACACACACAGAGGACTATTATTCAACTATAAAAAAGATGAAATCTTGTTATTTGTGGCAATGTGGATGAATTTTGAGGGTACTTTGCTAAGTGAAATAAGATATCAAAAGACAGTGCATGTATTTGTGAATAGAATATAAAGAAGCAAGTATTAGTATAAATATAAGGCAAGAAATTGAATATAAATTAGAAAAAATAAGAACTCTAAATACAGTGAACACGTCAGTTATATGGATAAACTGGTCAGTGATTACTAAAGAGAAAGCAGGTTGGAAGGGATGGATGAAATGGGTAGAGGGAGTTATTCATTGGGTGCTAGATGGAAATGGGGCTTTCTGGGGGTGATTATGAAGCAGTTGAGATGTAAAATTATAATGTACTGCACTTGACATTTACATAATTTATAAACCACTGTCACTTCAATGAAAATTTATTAGAAATTCACTATTTTCTTTTAGTTTTGAAATAAAAACAAACTCCATGATATAAGTGAACCACCCTCATCTACTTTCGTTCTGATTCTGTTGGAAATACTGCATATCACAGACACAGGTGAAGGGCTAGGGATGGGGCTGTGCAGTGGCCATCTTTCTTACCCAAACCCCATTCAATCCTTCAATTGAAATGAAAGCAATGTGCTTGTTCCTACAGCATGAAGACAAACATCCTAGCATGTCAGAGTGCTACCCCTAATCACTTAGGATTAGAAGGACAGTTCTTCCACTGCCTGAAGGATGGGAAGAAGCTTTAGATTGTATAATCATTTTGTCTGTAATTGAATATGAACTCTACAGGATGGATCTGGAGAAAAACATTAGTGATTCTAAGAAGGTTGGACTGTCAAAATATATCGATGACAAGAGAAGCATTTCTTTTAGTGCTAGGGAAAATTCTGAATTATTGAAAATAAAATGAAAGGTCAAATGATATATGTAAATAAAATGATCTAACTTCAAATAATAAGCTTATTATTTCATACTTTCAAAGACTGATATATTTCATAATCCCACAAAGTTGTAAAATAGGATAACTATGTTAAGTTATTGCTTCAGATGTCATTAAAAATGATTCTACAGGTACTAAACCTTGACATTCAGAACAAATATGTTGTTATTCAGGAGAGTAGGATACATCTGGCCGAAGAAAGTAATTGCGATGCAGGGAATAGTGCTGTGTTTTGCTCCATCACTTAATGATCAATTATGTTTTACCAAGTAATTCATAAGACATATTAGGTCATTTTAGGAGCAATATAACTGCTAACCTTTGTATGGCCTTCCTGGCACAATTAATTAATCTGAACAACGCATGGACCATTTGGTGAAAATAGAGCTATTTTTCTGTCTTGAAGGAGTGAATGCTTGTCCAAATCCAAGATTGTACATTAAAATCCAGCTCCCTTTTCAAAAACAAAGCAAAACAGTAACTCTACTAAGCAATGAAGCACACTGATTGGCAAATGACCCAGCAAGCACTCACAGAGACAGATGTTGCCATCTACCTACTGACATTTACCTGAATGAGGTTGGCAGCTGGGTTCCTTCTTTTCTCAAAGTGTTTCTGGCGGTGCTGTTCTTGCACTTTTAATGCAAAACCTGAGCCAAGAATTCCCTTGAACAAAATACAAAGACAGTACTTTAAAAAATTTTTTATCCTCATGACAAGAAAAATGATTTTTTTGGGTAAGTATGCTTGGGGACAGATGTTAACTAGTTTTGTTGCGGCAATCATTTTGCAACATATACAAATACTGACTCATTATGTTGTACATCTAAAACTAACAATGTTATATGTCAATTATGATTCAATAAAATTTTTTTCAAAAGCACTATACACATATTAAAAAAATCCCTCTAAAATGAGTCTGAGAAAAGGCAAACCATATGTAATTTGTCCATAAACACATTACTTAGTAAAGCAAAGATTACCTCTATTATAATGCCATGGGATACTGGCCAGTTTGGTCAGACAGACAAGGAATATAACAACTTCTGTTCTCTAATAAATCAGACATTGCTATTCTTTTTGGTAGAGCAAGTGATATCCTAACTACAAAGAAAGATAACTTTTTAAAAGAGATTTAACTGGGCTTATTGAAGGGTACAAGAGTTGGGTGGGGTGACATCCTATCTAGCAAGTAGAAAGGTACTGCAAGTATTTGCACAAAATGAAGGATTTTATAGTCAGAAAGTAGATGGGACAGGATTATTGGCAAAAGAAAAGAAAAAATATTTCAGGGAAAGTCAGCTTTTCTCAGGAAGGGAGAGGAGTACCTTCTGCAGCTCACCACGCTGGTGCAGATCAGGAAACTTCAATGTGACTGGCTTAAAATTAAATTTTGGGGAGAGGTTGAAACTGCACTCAGGGGTTAAATCTGGGTGGGGTTTGTCATGAACACTCCATTTTGGGCCTGTTTACTTATTTATTTAATTTTAACTATTTCTCTTTTTGGATCAGACTCAATCTGAGAGCTCTGATCAAAATTTAAGCCATCAGTGCCACTCCAAGCTACCCTTTCTCACATTTTCCAGTGATCCATTATAAGACATTCACAGATGATTTAGAGCATGAATTCTAAAATTACAAATTTAAGATTTTTTTTTGCCACATTTCTTTATACTTAGGTTAGATAAAATGCTCTTATCCAGTGATAGAATTTGGAGAACATCATTTCTGGTTTTGGACAGAGGTGGGTTTTTAGTTAAAGACAGTTGAAGGGCTTGCTGTTGTGGACATAGGAGTTTTTCTAGCCTGTTGATTATAATACTGAATTTTATATTTTCTGTTCCAAAGTGGAAGAGAAATCTTTGAAGTCAGTTCTAGCATAATCTTCCATGATACTATAATTTGACACCTTCCAAAAAAGGACACAGCAGTGGGATAGTTATCTAGATGAGACAGTTAGCTAGACGAGACACTCAGGTTTGAAGACAGAATGTTTCCCATTCTGTTAGTTACAGTTAAGACAAGAGCATGGGTCATTACAGAGTATGTTCCTATTTTCCTAGACTTCAATCTCATGCTTTCAGCATTCCTTATCGTTTGTTTTGGCTCACCTAGTCGGTGGGGTTAGTAAGATTAGCATGTCCCTTCAGAGTTTATATTAGTTCTTTGGCTGGTCTGCTTCTGCTTATCATCTTGATCTGCCAAAATTCTGCCTCTTTGATATGTCCATCTCTTTTCACTTGGGTTTAGTCTAACATTTGTGTGGAATCAAGACGCTTTGTCTCAGCCTTTGGTTGGCTTTGGAATTGCTAGCGCAGCCCGTAGGCTTTGTTTATGTCACTATTCTAGTGGTATGGGGTGTGGAGCTCTATTGTGTTCAAGCCTGTGGGCTTAACTTGCTAGCTACAAATTATTCGCTCTTTATTAAACTTTAAGAAGCCTGACCCTTATGTTAGAATGGGCCTCTTCCATGCACTGAGTATTTCCTAGAGGTAAGGAATGGTTTTTCTTTTCTTCATGCTTTCAGTGTAGCTCAAAGACAGTGTAGGTGGTCTGGGAGGTAGTGGGATTGTCTGCAGGAAGAGGTGTTAAATCTCAGCTGGATGACAACTTGATTAGGGTATTTTTGGATTCTAGATAACCTTTCACCTTTCTTCTTATCTTTAGGTTCTGCAACTTTGAGTATATCTGCGACAACAACCAGATAGTCAGCAATGCAATTATGTTGAAAACAAAGTTAAATGATAAAACTATTTGCTATTAGTAAGCAATGAGCTACTCCATTATTAATTAGGATTGAAGATTAATATGAGATTAGATGTTACACCATAGGGCTGCTTTTTCATTGACTGTCTAGGCTCTCATCTCACGCAGGTTGCTATTGTGCCAACTAATCTTCACAGAAGCCTGGTTATATGATCTTGTTTGTAAATGTAAGCAACATTTCCCTCTAGTTAGAGCTTATAAAAATTGCCCTTCATTTCCAAATTCAGATAAACTTTAATCATCTATAACTCCTAATTTTTTTTGCCTGCTACTGAAGTTCATTTAGGAAAGATTTATTTTACACGAAGCACAAATATATAAAAGAACATAAAAAATTAGAATTTAGAGAATATATTTATCATGTGTATACTATATATACATTATTACATGCTGTGTATAATTCATTCATCTGGAGCCTAATTCAGATGGTCTACATTGAATTAACAGCAACAGCTGCCATTTTTGAGCTCTTCTTATGTAACTATGAAGTCAGGGTTCAGTCCCTTTTGGGAAATGACAGGCACTACACAGCACAAACTTAGCATCTGCCAAACAAATTAACACATATTGAAAATCACATTGGCCTCACTTAGAAACATGTATTAGTAGATGGTAAACATTACCTATATATTTTTTCTGTCAGACTACAAAACAGCTATTAAACCAGGTCTGCTCATCATCTGGCTATGGATCTATTCCAATTTTTTTCCATCTCTCTTAAAACATAGTCCAGTGAACACAAACAGACATCCATGAAATTAAAGTCTGTTATTTATATGTAATCATGTGAGTTAATATACATATATATATAGTTTATGTATTATGTGTGCACATATAGTATATCCATCACACACACACATTTATAACTTACATTTCAGCCCTATATATAGCACACCAGTAGGTTAAAACTCTCAGAACCTGGGTTTTTCAGATTCATTTTCTGAGGTCACCTGCCTTAAATTTTTGGGCTTTTAGTTTTAATTCTATGCTAAGAAGTGCTACACAAATATCATGTTGAAAGAAAATATGCTTTGATAAAATTTTACATATTTACCTCTGTTATTTTCCATATGAAAGGTGTCCAATTTGCACTCCACACTTGGCAAACAAGCTAGACTGAACGATACACTTAGCAGGAGAATCTAGCAGGATGGAAGGGACTATCCTTATGAGATAGCTTTCTTCTCAGGGAACAGGGGAGGAGCTGCGGTTGCCTTCGCCAGCCCATCAGCCTAGTGCTAGAAAGGGCTTCAGGGAAAGTGACACCCTCTCTCACTCTCTGGTGCTTAGGAAAGGGCAGTCCATAGGACCCTGTGGGGTGCCGAGAGTTCTACTTTGGGGAAAGGCTCTTTCTTTCTTGGTCCTTGAGTTTCTTGGGTGGGAGGAGCCCCAAACTAGGATGGCCCATAATCGACTTCTAACTTTCTTAGCAAAATGCCCACATGCTCTCCTAAATCTCAGACAATACTGCTGTCAGGTCACTGCACAGTCATACTGGTATTTCCATCTTGCCTTTTAACAAAGGTTATACGCAGTATTATTCAGAAAGAGGAATTCAGCACTTTCTCTGAGATTGCATCGACAGTAAAGTCTATTTTTCTTGGCATTGTTAGAGAGTGTTCTCTGTGAGAAAATTTTTCAGATATCCAACATATTTTAATTTATTTTTGCATATAAAATTACAGTCACTTAAAACAAGTAATTGTAATAAAGTAAAAATGAAAACCAACAGACAGCTATAAATCAGAGACATTCTATGGGGGTGGAGAGGGTAAAAGGATCAAAACAGGGGTGGGAAGAGCTTATTGGACTATAGCGATGGCACATGGGTAATTGGTGGTGGGAAGTCCATGGGGGTTACAACCGTGGTGAAAAATTGTACAAAGTGAAGAATGATGTAATATATATATTACAGTCACTTCATTGGGAAATATTCCAAGACTGGCAAGTTATCTTTCACCTATAACCTAGCAGAATAACATTGTGTAAGCTCCCCACAGTGATCCAGAGTTTTACTACGGAATGGGGTATTTCATGTGCTAGAGGCAGCCAGCTACCAGAGGGAGGCTGACCCTAGCACTAAAGTACACAATTCAGCTTATCAGAGTTTTGTCTAAATTAAGGAAAGTTTATGAACTAGGCCTCGAGTACTCCTTTGAGGACAATGCATTCACTGTTGTCTTTTAATAGTCCTGAATTGCTTACTTCCATTCATAGTTTTTGCTGGTTCACAGAGGCTTTTATAATGTGTGGAATAAAAAGTATAAACACAAAAGTGGCAGATAGTTTCTTACTAGTTTTTGAGGAAAGGAAAGTTCAAGACTGCATTTTGTAGCTTCTGAAAGTATTATTTTTCTATAGGGAATTAGATTATTTTGAGTCTCAGCTCATTCTAGATTTTGAGGTTGCCAGACAAGTTGACAAGATGCTTTTGGACTCTCTTTGATTTATTCATTTCATAATAGGAAACACATATATGTAGATTAGTACAGAGAAAGGAAGTAACATTTCATGGAAGTTATTTTTCATGACAAGCACTTGACATATTTATCCCATTGGTTTTCACAAAATTGCTCTGAGAGCATTAATTCTTCTTCCATTACACTGATGGAGAAACATAACCTAAGTTACTGTTATGAGGTGAATTGTCCCTGCTCCCTCCTCCCTCATTCATATTATGGAGTCCTAATGCCTAGAATCTCTGAATGAGACCTTATTTAGAGACAAGGTCTTTGTAGAGTTAATCATGTTACAATGAGGTCATTAGGAAGGGCCCTAGTCCAAGGACTGGTCTCCCTATAAAAGAAAGTTTGTTCTCACACATATACAGTGGGAAGACTATGTGAAGATACAGGGAGAAGATGAACCATAATAAAAGAGACTTGAAATAGATTCTTCCCTCATTAATCTCAGAAGGAACCAAACTTACTCACCCCTTCCAGCTACCGGGACTGTGAGACAATATATTTCTGTTGTTCAACCACCTAGTCTGTCATATCTTGTTACAGCAGCCCTAGCAAACTGATACAGTCACAAAGGTAGCAAGTGACAAAAGCACACAGTACCTGGCTTTAATTTTAAGCTGAGGGCTAATGCACATGCATGTTCTTTTCATTTTCTTCTCCATGATTTTGTGTGGTTTAGAACAGAACCAGTCCAAGTACTGGCCACAGAAAAGACAAGAAGGTCACTTGAATGCATTAGCTGGCAGAGCAGGAGCACTGTAAGCTGAACAGTTGTGATAAAATCACTATTCCTTGGGCTTAATTCGGAGAGTGCTCTGGCTTCTCTTACTGCTTGACAGGGGCTATGAGATGAATCAATTATGTCTAGAACAAGACTGAGGCTACTGTTCCTTAGGCATAAATGCTGTCATGTTTTAACACACCTTTTGCTAACTCTCATTGCCCCTTGGAGGGAAAACTGAATAAAAGTGAGAACTTGGGGGCTATTGGCAATTGTAATACTTTGAGCAACTGCCTTTAAAGAAACAGGGTAAATGGTTAGAAAAGCAAGTCTCATCCATTAAGGAGAAAATAATCAAAAGCTTAAGAGAAGATAAATGTGCTATTCATTCAAATAAGATGCAGAAACTGCTCATTAAGAAAAATCAATAATGATGATACAAAGAATAAATCATCTGACACATTTAAAATCCTTTCAGGTAATATGCGTTTCACTCAAATCGATCTGAAGAGGTAAATACTCCACTTGTATTCATCTATCTCTTCAGTGACACATCTTACAAACTAAGTTGGGGGGAAAAGTTTAAAAAGATTATCTTTAAATATTTACAAATATTTTAAGTGGATTCGTAGCATGCTTACTGAGAAGTGATACCATCTGAATGACAATTTGGTCATAAAGACCGAGCAGGTAGAAAACTCGTTGGTTAAGTGTGCTTAAGGGAATACCATATTCCATAAAGTATCCAATGAGATATGTAGAAAAATCAACATTTATTAGAAAAATTATATTTGTAAATGATGCAGTTATAGATGCTCCCAGGCATATCAATTTGTGAAAGTGCACACTAATGAACCTCTAAAATCTAATTTAAAACGGCTTGATTTTTGCAAAGATACTCACGGCAGGAAGTGCAAAGAAAGAAATGCCAAGGAGTGCAAAGCCTGCAGAAAGCAATCTTCCCAGCCAAGTGAGGGGAGTTTTGTCTCCATAGCCAATCGTTGTCAATGTAATCTAAAAACAAAATAAATAGAACATGCAGCTTAAGTACTGGAGAGGAAAGTTAGGACCTGCGAACAGGAGGCAAGCAACGTTTCCACTAAATCATTATTCAACAAGTCTTGTTGACGCATTTTATTACTGTGCTTTAATTTTCCATGACGCATAACAGAACTTGTCTTTGTTTAAGGAAGGGAATAACCTACATACTTGTTCCTCTCTTATAACACAGTTTTCCATCTTTTCTAAGTGTATTTATTCAAAGAAAGGGTATTTACGAAAGCGGATAACCATCAGTGACACAGAAATGATAGCATCATGGATTTAGGACTAAATCAGTACACAAAACAATAATTTATGTTAATTAAGACTGTCCATTTATTACCTTGGCAGGCATTTCCTGAAGGTCTGGTGTGTACAAGGTACGTGTTATGATTTGCAGTGGAAAAATATAAGAGCAGTACATGTTCTTGTCCTACAATATTTACAGCATGAAAGGGGAGCCATGTCACACACAAATCATTAATGCAACAAAATAGGGCAAGACAACAATTATGATAGATTAAATTTGCTGTGAGAATTCAAAGAACAGATGGATTATTTCTGCATTGGGGGTCAAAGAGCCTTATTGGGGAGTTGTCATTATGCTTAGACTTTGAAGGAGGTACAATAATTTGACAGGCAGAAATAATGAAGAGAGTGATCCAGGGAGGGGGAATATTGGTTGGTTCTGGAAAGTATAATTTGCTCAGTTGGTCAGTCTAAAGAAAATTGGTGGAAATGGAGGTTAAGTAGAAACACTAGAGTTAAATCAGGGACTGTTTTTGAAAAACAATAATTAAATCATGTCTTGCCCAAGGTCAGGCTGTTTCAGGGGCTCCATATCTCCTTTAGAACAGCTCCTGCCCGTGAGGTTCTAAATAATCCATAGGATGATGGGGTAAGTGAACTGAAAGGGTGGGACTGTATGGGAGTGGAGCACAAAGACCTGTGTTTAAGAACTTTGGTAGAAATACAACTAGTGCTGGGCTGAGATGAAGGCAGAAGACGACATCAACAACTGGAGAATTTCCAAGGGAAGATGGTTGCCCCACAAACAAAAATCTGAAAATGAGAAAGATTTTGGAGCAAAGATGAAGAGTTTGGATATGCAAATAAGTTTTTTAATTGTCAGGAAGACCCAGATCTAGAAATGTTGAGCAGGAAATGAAGTATGAGATTTGAATCATGAGAGATTGATTTTGGCATGAGATTTGGGTTTTGGAATCAGGCACAGGGTGAATGTTGAAGCTCTGTGAATAAATGAAATTTCACAGAATATAAGGAAAGGGCTCAAGGACTCTGCAGGAAACAGTCATTTAAGAGATGGAAGGGCAAGAAAAGTAAGAGAGGTGGGGCCCCTCCCTGGTGGTACAAGTGGTTAAGCACAGCACTATGAAGCTATCTGTAGCCACTGCAGCACAGGTTCAATCCCCTACTAGGGAGCTGACCCACATGGTGCAGCTGACCTCTCCTGTCTTACCTGCTGCTTCCCTCAGCAATGTATTTTAGTAGATTAACCTGTTCTGTTCCCCACTCTGTTCCTGATGAATCCTTTCACCCCCTGCACCTCTGGTCTATACCCCAGTCCTTGTATACATAAATAAGGAAATCTTTTAAAAAACAAGTAAGAGACCTAGGAATGGGTAATATAAGCGGAAATCCCATGAGGAAGAGAGTATCGCCAAGAACCAGGTGACCCTTCATGTCCAGGTGCAGAGGAGACATGGAAAACGAAGTCTGAGAAAAGATTCTGACTATATAGGAGTGGTCACTGGTGGGTCATTTCTAAGAAAGTGGTTACTTTGGCCATGCCCTTTCATCTGAACTCTGGAGGAGGGTAACAATCTGAGAGGTAGACATGACAGAGGGAGAAAAACTCCAATCTTTCAGCAGCACTCAACTCAGAGGATGAGCCCAGGCTGGAAGCTTCTCTTGGTGCCTCACTTTCATAACTTTTCCCCTACCTATGGCCCCTGGTCTATAGGATGGCTTGACTTATTTATTTATTTTTTTTTTAACTTTATGATGGTAAGAAAGTGATACATATGTGTTCAGTAGCAACTATCCTTTGAATTTTGATCTTTTCCTTGATTAGCAATTTGCAAGCCCGTCCTCTCCTATGATGCTGGTTCATGGCCACTCCCAGTCAGGCACACTGTCTTGAGGGCAAACATTGGACATTGTACAGTGTGCTGCACTGCTAGATTTTTTTGGATATTGTGCTTTTGCAGCACCTATGTCTACAATGGTAGGCTACTGTGAGTGTTCTGAGCCTGCTTAAGGTAGGTGAGGCTAAACTTTGTTCAGTAGGTTAAGTGTAGTAACTGCATCTTTGAGTTAGGATATTTTCATTTTATGATTCATTTATTTGGGTACAACCACAGAACAGTCATGGAAGAGCTGTGCATCTTTGGTGGTTATTCCTACTCTAGTCAATATTTGAATATTTAATTCTTAAGGTTTGATTCTGACTCATTTTACCTTTTTTTTTAATAAATGAAATTTACTTATTTCCTTCTATCAGTTAATTTTTGGATAGAATGTTAGTCCCTGTAGTTTTCCTACTGCCATAGCACCTGCGACCACAGCACAGTCCTGTGCTCTTCTCTCCTCTGTTTTGACCCATCTCCCTTCTCTTCACCTGCTGTGCCTCAGATCTGTGGGTCTTTTTATATCTTTTAAAAAACTCTATTCTTTTTGAGCTTTCCTTTTTATTTTATTCCTTTTCCTCTCTCTTCCCAGGTGATCTTAGAAGTTCTAAGGGATTTAAATATCATTTTAATGTTGCACACACCAAACTTATACTTGCAGTTCAAACCACTCTCCTGAGTTCTGGATTCACATATCTGCAGCTGATATTTCTATCTGCAGGGTAGACTGTTACTTAAACTTAACATGCTTAAGACAGAGCTCTGATTTTCACTCAACTGGTCATTCCCTCAAATGTATCCCCTCCCATCTTATCAAAAGCATGACCATCTAGGCAGTTTTTTAAGCCAGAAGCCCCAGAGTCTTCCTAAATGCTCCTTTCTCTTGCTGCCCTCACTGAATCTATCAGTACATCCCATTCCACATCCCAAAGACACTGTAAATTCATTCATCCCTTTCTTCGTGTCTCCACTGCTATCACAGTAGATCAGGCTGCTGCAACCACAGTAGATCAGGCTGCTGCAACAGCCAGTTAACCACTCTCTACTTTTGCTCTTGCCTTCCTCCAGCACCTTCTCCACACACCTGCAAGTGGTATATTTTTTCCCCCTCTTTATAGGAATCAGTCAATGTCTACTCAATGAATTCAGAAGCTATTATCTATAGTTCCTATGCTCTGTTCATAAGCTTTCCCCTTGCTCACTGTACTTTAACCACACTGTCTGAGAAGTTGACAAGACTCGATTTCTTCCAATGGGTCTTTGCACATCCTGTCCTGCAGCCAGGATTGTTCTCCCATTTTTTTTTTTGTTCTCCCATTTTAACAAGGTTCCTTCTTATCTTTCAATCTTCATCCAAAAGTTATCTTAGAATGGCCATCCCAATGCACTCCATAGGGTCTGGTCATTCTATTCCAGCTCCTTGTTTCTTTTTAAAGCCATTAATCATAAGTGGCAATTGGCTTTATTTATTTATTTCAGGAGGGGCCCTTATTTCCTTCACTAGAAAGGAAATAAGTCTTTAGTCTTTGTTATCACTCTAACACCTGGTTTGATGCTCACATCAAGTGTGAGGAACTCAATAAATATTTAGTAAATAAATTAAGAAACTTCTCAAGAACATTGGTGAGAAGTAGAAAGAAAAATATAGGGCGAGAACTCCTAGGAATCCTTTACTTGAGACTTTTTAGGTTGGACTTATGTAAGTGTACAAAGAGGTGGACTGAATAGAGGAGAAATGGTGATTTTCTGGAAGGCCAAGGTGCCCAAAGAAACAGGGGAACTTCACCAGTGGGGTAGTTGGAGGGGCTTGTCTTGGCAATGTGAGAGGACACTTCTTCCAATGTGGGGGGCAGATGTGGACATAGTGTGAGAGGGCAGGGGAGGGAAAAAGCAGGACCTTTCCACTACAGTGACAGAGAAGGTAGATGTCTGAGCAGTGCAATGCATGGCAAGGCTTGAGGCTGTGAGGTGAGATGGTGAGGTGTCAAGTGGCCTCTGGGTGGAGGAGGCTTATGGGAGATGAAATGAGTAGAACAAGTTTATCTAATGTCATGGGCAGTCTCAGTCAGGGGACTCAAAGAAATTCCTTGAGATTGGAAAAAAAATATCCCAGGTTCATTTATATTCCAGTCTGATCTCAAATATGTGGGGGAGATTTCACCTAGTATATTTTATTTCTCCCTGAAAAACACCTTAATCCTTTTACAGCAGTTTATTAGTGATAATAAACTGAAGGAGAAATTTCACGGTCTGGTCACAGCAATAATGTTACATTTCATGGTTTGCCTTACATTCCAAGGATACATTCAATTTATTCTTCTTGGCCCAGTGCTCAGAATGGGTTTTAAAACTCAGCCTTGACTGAGAATAATAAGACATGGTGAAATGACAGGTACATCCCAGTGTTTCATTCTGAGCAGAGAAGAATGCCTGGTTTCTGCCCTCTGACTCCGTGGCTGTCTTTCGTGGGGAGGAGAGTGTGGTGAGCTCTGAGAGCCACACCTTGGACTCTCTGGGGGTGGTAAAGACCACCATCCACCTCTCTCAGCAATCTGAGACTGAATTTCACTGTGGGAGCAAGACAGGGAAGACCACTTTTTCCACTTTGATTTCAAAGTTGCTTTGAATGGTGCTTGGTTTAAAGCTCTGGAACACGCTTTTGCCAAGGTAGGCTTAGAAAGGCCTGGGGGCAGGGTGGCAACTTTGTCTCCTGCAAGCTGGAGCTGGTAGGGCTCTCCTTTATGTTGTGCCTGAAGGGAGCATCGCTTTACTTTTGTGGCTGCCACAAGGACAGCTGGGTCTGTTACAGGGCACCCCACTGTG